GGCCCGGGCGGGCGGGCCGAGGCGCGGACGGAACCTGCTGTCACTATTTATCTTCGGGTGGAGCCGCCGTCTGCGGCCCGGGGAGGGGAGGACGGAGCGCGCGAGGCGACCTGTCGGAGGACAGGTTTTCCCCCGCCGCCCGGCCCGGCCCGGCCCGGCCGCGGCGTTTCCTTGTGTTCCGACGGCTTCTCGGCTTCTCGGTGCCCGGACTGATAAGCTTTTGTTTAGCAGGACAAAAACTTGACATAACTGCATAAGAATTGCTGATTGCAACTTTAAAAGACCTCATTGTGTTTTCCGAAAAGTTGGTCAGTAACTACCTAGCCTTTTTCTTTGCTCTTAAATGGGCTTAAATATGGAGATAACAAAGAGTGGATTTGTTTTCTTGTGGCTTGTAAAGTTCCTTGAAGACAGAGTTGTCTATGTCAGTTTTCTTTGCAGATTAAGAATAAGTGACTGTAACAGAAAGTCTGTAATTAGCACCGGCAGAAATTCTGAGAACCGGGTCCACTTGAGAGCTTAACCTTGTAAAGAGCTTATCCTGCTCTTTGCAAAACCAGCTCCAGACTTGAACCAGAACTTTAGACACTGAGGCTTCTTACTGGGCTCATAACTAATGGTGCAACAATAACAATGGTTACTGTTCCTGTTGTGCTTTCTATATGCAAGCACTGATTTGAGAGCTTCGATGTGGGACAGATACTATTATCCCCGTTGGACAAGGAGGAAACTGAGGCACAGAGAAGTGAAGTGACATGTGCAAGGACACACAGCTAATAATTGCTGGGACCCAAGCAGGCTGGCTTCCAGCGTGTAACTATGCTGCCCTGTCTAGTCTGTTGCCTTCTTTGTATGTGGCTTTTTTTTTTTTTAAGTTCACAAAGTGCTTTCATTTCATTTGCTTCTCTCGACTTGGGATATAATACAGATGTGTGCAAAGTGTATTTGTGTCGATGTATATCCAAACACTATACAATGGAGTTGTCTGCTCTTGTTGACCATACTTAAGTTTTGTACACTGAGTAAAAAATCCATTGGGTATTTTAAGATCAATGGAGTTCATAAAGTTCAGGTTTGTGTTATAATGAAGAGTTTTAAGTCCTTTGTATCATTTCCTGAAAGTGTAGAGAACAGTTCAAAACCTACGTGTTTTTAAAGGGAAGGAAGAAAAAAACACAACACTAGGTGTTCCTGAAAATATACCATTAAATATTAATGTTTTCATTCTGAAAACTTTTTGAGGGGTTACTGAGCATTTCGAATGATTATACTTAACCAACGGCTCCATTAGGTTCGAAAGCAAATTATTTAATAAGAAAGCAGCTTACACTATTAGCAGCAGTGCATTTAAATTCATTCATCAGTTGTCCAGCTTTGATTGCCTCTGTGCCCAGCACAGTGTTAGCACAATAGCTAAACAGCAGAAATGTGCCTGAGTAACCTCCTCAAAATTCTGAGGGTATGAGATTAACAAACAAACAAATATATATGTGTATATACTAGTATAATGCTCTATATTAGTGGGCGTATGCTGAACTGAACTGAGCTAATCAGTAAAGCTTCTGCAAAGAACTGACAATTGAAGGATGGATATAGGCCACTGAATAGAAAAGTATGAATGGGAATTTAGTGAGGAAACTGTTCAAAGACTTGGAATTGAGAATGAAAAGGATTCTTCTAGGAACACTAAATAAGTCTGTCTGGTCTATTTGGAAAGTTACTACTGAGAAAAATAAGATGTGTGCAAGACTGAGGAACGTTGTGTAAGATATCTATCAAAGAAGTTTAGGCTTGATATGTATATGAGCAGAGAGAGAGATGATTTTGGAAGTTTTATAACTTTTCTTTTTTAAAAAAATATATTTTTATTGATTTCAGAGAGGAAGGGAGAGGGAGAGAGAGATAGAAACATCAATGATGAGAGACAAACATTGATTGGCTGTCTCCTGCATGCCCCACACTGGGGATCAACCTGAAACCCTGGTATATGCCCTGACTGGGAATTGAACCATGACCTCCTGGTTCATAGAGCAATGCTCAACCATTGAGCCGCAGAAGTTTTATAATTTTTAAATGTATGGCTTTCAATGGGGGCAGTCGGCCTCCCCCCACCCCCATCTCCAACCCCCCCTACACATTTGGCAATGTCACAAGAGGAAGAGATGGGAGATGCCACTGGCACCCAGTGGATAGAGGCCAGGAATGCTACTAAACATCCTACAATAGGATAGCCCCTTCATAAGAAATAATTACGCCCAGCATCAGTGGCCCTGAGATTGAGAATCACTATTTTAAGTTGATTGTTTATATGGCCAGCTCTGTTTCCATATGCTGTAGATAAGTCTGAATGATGAGTTTTAGGAGCATGTGTGCAAGCAATAGTAAGTTGGGGAGAAGTGGGCTCAGAGACCTCAAGAGAAAGAAGGCTGTTGTTAGAGTCCTGGGGAAGGGAGAGGCTGGAGGAAATAGGATGAGAGCAACGAGAATAGACAAGGAGTGGTAAAATGAGACAATTTTTTAAAATAGGATTGTTTTCTAAGTTTGAAAATAATGCATAGTTATGGTAAAAAAAAATTTAGGAAATGTAGAGAAAGTGAAAGAACAATTGTAGAGTGGTTCCTTTCAAATCTTTTTTTATGCTGATAACTATTTTCTCTTTTATAAAACTAGGATTATACATTTTTCTTCCTATGGCGGTTGGGTGTTTTGTTTTGACTCAGCATATCATGAATATTTCTCATTTTCATTTGAAAAAAATGTTTTTTTTAATGGTCAGTCTTTGTTTTTTGTATGTATTCTTTTGAAATTGGGAATTTTGCTTTATATTCACAGGAGACATTTTGAAGGAAGAAATATTAGAATATGATGACTGATTAACTATAGAAAAAACTGAGGGTAAAAGTCTACGGTATCTCCAAGGTTTTAAATCTGGGAAGTTAAAAGAATGGTGGAGCTACTGAAAGAAATATACACACTCGTAATACTTTTCATTTTAGGTATGTAAACTGCCATTCACAGAGACACATAATAACATTTGAATGAGGACCCTTGATGCCTATCACCTCACATTCTTCCTAAAACTCCTATAGTTAATCTTCCTTTAATTTTCTTTTCTTTTAATTTTCTATTTTTTTTTTTTTTTTTTTTACTTTTTGTTTTTTTTTGTACTAAGCTTATTTTTCAGTTCTTTCTTAGCAAGTCTTCCCCTTCACCTTTCTTGGAAAGGTTTTTAGAAATACATTTTCTGTTAAAATCCTAAATAAGGCTCAAATTTATATTGAATTTTACTTTGAGGATTAAAAGAACTAGTTTGGGATTTTTTAATGTATAGATTGCTACAGTTTATAAGCAAGGGTGAGTATAATTCTTTGCGGGAAGGAGAAACTATCTTTAAAAATGCTTGCCAAGGCCCAGTTGGTGTGGCTTAGTGGTTGAGTTTCTACCTATGAACCAGGACTTTCTGGTTGGATTCTTGGTCAGGGCACATGCATAGGTTGCCACTGGATCCCCAGTAGGGGGTGTGCAGGAGGCAGCCAATCAATGTCTTTTTTTTTATATATAATATATTTTTATTGATTTCAGAGAGAAAGGGAGAGGGAGAGAGAGCTAGAAACATCAATGATGAGAGAGAATCATTGATTGGCTGCCTCCTGCACACCCCTTACTGGGGATTGAGCCTACAACCCAAGTATGTGCCCCTGACCAGAATCGAACCCAGGGCTCTTCAGTCCAGAGGCTGATGCTCTATCCACGGAGCCAAACCAGTTAGGGCTCGATGATTCTTATCATTGATGTTTCTATTGCCCTCTCCCTTTCTCTCTGAAATCAATTAAAAATATATATATATTTTAAAAATGCTTGCCCAGTGATGGGATGCCTCATAATATCACACCAGTCAGTATTACATTCGTACTTTATCAATCATTATATTTATTCAATTAATTTGATGCTTTCTGGAAAATGTATTTAGGAAAGTAAATTTTTAAAACACCCCTTAAATGTAATACAAATGGTACTTTTACTGGAAGCATACACTTTTCAGGTTGGATAGGATATAATTATACATTGTTGGATTAAAATGCTGTGTTTTCGCCTGACCAGCTTGGCTCAGTGGTTGAGCATCAACCTATGAACCAGATCATGGTTCAATTCCAGGTCAGGGCACAGGCCTGGGTTGCAGGCTTGGTCCCCCAGTAGATGGCATGCAGGAGGCAACCAATCAATGATCCTCTCTCATCGTTGATGTTTCTATCTCTCTCTTTCTCTCCCTTCCTCTCTGAAATCAATAAAAATCTATATAATAAAGAGGTAATATGCTAATTTGTCCATTACGGTGTCCCAGTCATGACCAGTCTGTGGGCAGGGCCAGGTGTGGGGACTTCTGCCCCCAGCGCTAACATCACGCTGCCTGTGCGTCCCCATTCAGCACTGGTATGATGCTGCGGGGCAGGGGGTGGGGTGGGGGGGGGGCGCTGGGCTTGATGGGGGACCTCAGGCCGTGCCCCCTGCCCCAGCACCCGGCCGGGAGACCTAAGACTGTGCCCCCCACCCCAGTGCCGGGCTGGGAGACCTCAGGCTGTGGCCCCCGCCCAGAGGTCTTGACGGGGACCTCAGGCCACACCCCTCGCATGGCGGGGCTTGACACGGGACCTCAGGCCGCAAGCCCTGGCGCCGGGCTGGGGGACCTGAGGCTGCGCCCCCATCTGGAGGGGCTTGACGGGGGTGGGACTGGCCGGGTCTGGGTCTCCTGCTTTCCAAGCTTGTGAGGGTGGTGGGTGGGGACTTGACTCTAGGGCCCACAGCATGTTCCAGACTCTTGACAGGAGGGAGATTTTATATACATTTTACTAATTTTCTTTCATCTCTGACACTTCTATTATAGAGAAAGGGCAAATAGCAATATTAAAATATTCTCATTAATTCTCTTGTAATGTGCACGAATTTCATGCACCGGGCCACTAGTATATAAAATAAAATACCGTGTTTTCTACTTTGTGCTCATCTCCAAGTATCTTCTGATTGCTAATATCAATTAACTTTGGGAAAGTTTTATATTTTCTTTGTTCTTAGGACACGAGAGAAATAAAAGAAAGAGTAACTATTAAGGGTTCTAGTTTCAATGTATTAAGTTCAAGAATAGATGGCTGTTAGACACTCACATGGAGCTGACTTGTGGGTGTTTAAGAAATGAATCCAAAGCTTAGGGGAAACATTGAGATAAGTTGTTTATTTTTTTAATGAATAGGTTAAATTTTATTACAGTTAAGTCTTGGACCTGGGAGTCATTATACCTCCCTAAGGTAGTGTTTGACTCCTTTGCTGGAGAAGAGAGTATTCTCTAAGAGAAGGGGACATTTTCAAACTTCAGTATATATTCTGATCTCAGCCCAGGACATATAGTGGTAACACACCGCTGTAACTGATGGGGCTGTGCAGTAATCTCAATTTAAGCATTGGAGTATAAGAAAGATTAAGAACCATTATTATAAAAGGACTCTAGCATAATCTTTTGTTGATTTCTTTAATTCTCAAAGGGCAATTTATCCTTATATCAAGGTCTTAGGATATCCTTCACATACTTATCAGGTACTACAGAAATTAATCACAAGTGTTAATAGTTTGGTAATAGATTTGTCCCAAATCATGAAGATAGAGTGTTAAAATTAGTGTATATTAACCTATCTTTTTGAGAGTCGTATATCTTATTGGTATATCCTTTCATACATAGAGCCCATCTATCTTGAAAGCTTCAGAAATATCTTTAGTAGTTAAACAAGGAGTCAAAAAGGATCCTTAAGGTGACATTGTTTTGTATATGTATTTACATATATTTCTATTTATGAGTTTAAGAAGACAATTAGAAAGGGTTAGAGTATTTTTCCTCCCTGTGAATATTTCCAGAAAAACATTGGACTGTTCTAAGAGGGAGAGTAAGGGATATTTACCAAAATATGCTAAGAAGATAATCATCTACTTGGCTTAAGAAACTCCAAGTGTTCCCAAAGATTCAGGCATTTATATAGCCATTTAAGAAGAAATGTTTAGTATACTATTAGTACATTTTACTTTCGTTGAAAGTAAAAGTCTAAAAGGGAAACATCTCCCTCTCACCTAATCCCCCAGTCACACATAGTTTCTCTCTAGAAGTGATATTTGTCCCCAGTTTCTTATATATCCTTCCAAAGATATTCAGTGAATATATAAGCAATCACTCATGTACACTTTTTGTTTTTACCTAAGTGGTAGCATACTGTTCTGCACCTGCTCCCCCACCCCCTCTTCCAATATAAAGTCATTGAAAAATTTAAAGTTATTGGTCCAAAACCACTGATAAAGATGATGATAAACAACCACCTAGCTCTCAGAATTTAGCAAACTTCATGTTCCCATTATTAATTCTAATTCCTTAATGTAGTGTGCTCAGTGGACCTCATTATTAAAACTGAAGAAGAGGTGGTGGGAATGGTAATTCCCCTTTAACATCAATTTTGTACTTTTTATTTCAGGGTGACTTACTTGGTCATAAGAAAGTTGGAATTCAGTTTGGTCTATTGATTGTAATGATGTGTTACCATGTTGTACCTCCTGAATCTCCAAAAATCTGTGTTTTCATGCTTGACCTGAAATTTGACATTGTTTCTCAGACCAGCCTTCCATGGGAAACTGAATTAAGAGAAGGTGGTGTGATGAATCATCATTCAGCCAATACAAACACTGTCGGGGTTTATTTCAGGTATTAGGGGTTTTGAGTTGTTCTGAACATGGAATCAGATTAAGGGGATTTGTTAAATTCATTTCCTATAATAAACCTAGCAAGTGTAGGAGATATTCCAGGTAATTTGATGGGGTGCCCTTTCCCTGGACAGTGCATGAATAAGTACTGCCTGTATTTGTTTCTGTGCTTCCCTTTTTCTTCTTCTCAGTGTTGTTCATCTCCTTCCCCCAGTTGGTGCCCTCTTTGACACATTCTTTCAAAATGTTGACTTTCAATTAGATTATAACCTTAGAAGGGATTAAAAGGCTCCAAACATAACTAAACAACTCAATAGAATGTATCATTACTCCAGCAATCTAATAGTGTCTCATATAGCTTTAAAAGCACAGTTAACATAACATTCTCTTTGTTACTTTTAGAGTACAAGTGTTTGCTGCCTTTGTAACTCCCCTCTCCACTCCTTGTCAAATATACCTAAGAAAGATATGTCACACTTAGGGAATCATGTGATCTTTTTAATCTGGCTTCACATTAAAGAGTTTTTGTTTTTGTTTGTTTTCAATTCTTATAATAAGTTATACCAGCTCTATACTGGATCACATGATTGTTCAGCCCAACATTTGTTTTGAACACTTGTAATAGTTATGAAAATTAGTTTTACACATTGATTAAAATTTAGTGGAACACCTACTGAGAATCACTAGGCGAGTCCTGCTGTACTAGAAGCTATTACTCTGTAAAATGATTCTATAAATATCTTTGCTTTATACCATGCTCTTCTACTTCATAGCTTAACTTAAAGAGCAATTTTTCTTCCTAAGTTCTTTAGATAAGTCATTAGGGATATCACCATGCTTAACATATTGTATTACAATTGCTTGTTTTTGTTTTTCCCATTATAACCCTTGTGGAGGATGATGAGAATTTTGTTCCAAGAAAGGGAAGTTCAAGGGTACGAGCAGAAATGAAGGCTGGAAAGTTACCAGTGGCAATAATGTAGGTATATATATAGCTAAGATGTCAGGTCACCAACTTTATAAATTTTAAATTAATCAGTGTTTTTGACTAAGAAATTG